GACAGTTGTGGACAGGTTGCTTTTTGCAAGCATCTCCGATCCATCATCCTCAAATGCTGGACATTCCATACCTCGCTCAGGTAAAAATTTATGGAGGACAGCTTTGGCACATTCCAGCTGTAATGTGTGTGTGTGTGTGTGTGTAGGAGTGAGGGAGTGGCCACTCTCAGGGGAGGCAGAGTGGAGCAGAATGGGAGCTGGCACCGCATTATCTACAACAGTTGGTGCATTCCTTAATGATCAAGTGCTGGAGAAGCATCTGTGCACTGCTCCGTGTGTTGGTGTGTGTGTAAGATGTAGAGGAGGAATATGGGAAAAGTCTTCCCTAGAACCTTTTAACCCCCAGGACAGATCGATCCCGGCCCTGTGCCATAAAAGGAAGTTTCTCTGTTTCCAGTTCTTTTTTCCAGCCTAGAGGAAAGAATGTACTGCTATTTGGTATACATATGTATTTGTTGGTATTCGTGTCGTACTGTATGTATGTGGTTGTTATCTGAGGAGTGCACTTTTATTCAAAAGACCTCAATCACACACATAAAACACAGGGTCAAAACATCTTATAAGGTCAAGAAAACAAACTGTGAGACCTGGATTGGGAAAGTCAGTAAAGTAGAAATAATGTTAGAATGACCCAAACTGAGGTGTCCTGTTGATCCCTCTGAAATAGAGGAAATGGAGAACCAAAGAAAATGTGACCTCCCCTTGATCTAGCCTTGCCCTGTAATAGAGCAGTGGCCATCACATGGACTCTATCTGCAAGCAAACATGTTTATGCCCACATAAAAAAAATCACACATTTGATTTCTTTTTACCAATATACTCAGATTTACGGAAGCTTTTTTAACAAAAAGAAGGTAATATTTTATTTTTGGTAATTGATCTTTTTTCTCCCAATTTCAACATTATACAATACAATTCATACATACCAATGATTTGTTAAATTTGTTGAAAGTGAAAGACTTATTATCATTGCTACAAAAAAAAATCCTATTTTTATAATCTAAAACTTTTCTCGGTTTTCACAAAAATATTAAACAGCACAACAACATGTTTTCAACATTGATAAGAATAAATAGTGACTGAGCACTAAATTAACATATTAGAATGATTTCTGGAGGGTCATGTGATACTGAAGACTGGAATAATTCCAGCTTTGCTATTTGCAGATTTTTACTATTTTACTGTATTTTTTTTGATCAAATAAATGATTTGGTAAGCATAAAAGACTCAAAAACATTTTAAAATATCTTACTTGCCACAAAGTTTTGAACTGTAGTGTACCCCACAAATGTAACTTTTTTTTAATCACAACTGCAACATTTTTCCAATAATTGCAACTTTCTCACAATTGCTAATTAATATCTCACTAAGTGATTTAAATGTCTTAGAAATCTCACATTGTGAATTTTCTGGCAGAACATTGATTTTTTTTTGTAATGAATAAGATAAAGCCGTGCTCATGATAATAGAGGCATAGCTGCAACATACATTTTTATGGCATGAGATGAAGATCGCATCACACCACATTCATGAGTGTGATGATATCACTCATTCGGTATGTTCTATGGCCTGGAGTACCTCAAGATACTGTATGACTACAATACACGCAGACACAAAGCACGCACAACAGAATAGCCAAAGTCATTCCCATTCTCATGAATTGTGCCCTTTTGTTTGGCAAAGTGTGTTCACAAATGATCCATTGTGTGCACGAGTGGTTTAACTATGGCTTACGGTGCCGGAGGGCTGCCATCGGCGTGCAAGAATGTCTGCTTTAGCCCCGTGCCCTTTAGCCTTTCACACAGGCAACTAACTCTACTCTTCCTGTCCATGATGTCATCCAATGGCAACATGAGACACGCAGCCTCTCTGCTCAGGGGTCATGGTCTGCAAAGAGCTCATCAGCTTGGATAAGGTAGAGATCTGTTCTTGATGTATTGATACTGTCTCTCACTTTAAACTGTCCCCGATGTTTGAGTCTGTGGAACACTTCACCTGATTCCTCTTCTTTCTGTCCACTGCGTTTGACCGGGGGTTTCCCTGTCCTGTGTGTGTGTTTGTGATTGTGCGGTGGGAACAGGCTGACCCAGGCTGTGAGCTTCAAGCTCTTGCTGGTTAGCAGTGTGTTCTTTATCAATGACCTCGGGGCCGCAGCTCTGCGGATTCCAGCCATTCCTCCTCCTGATTCATTGTCTGCCAGACAAATGTTAATTGTTTTCATCATTGCCGGCTGTGCGGGGCCAGTCAAGCGGGCCCATCTCACCCTGTCTACCTTCCCTTTTAATGTCTTTCTTTGTGCAGCGCCTTGTTCTTATCACTCTTTCAGCCTCTCCGGTTGACCTTCAGCGTACAAGGGGTCACGTCTCACATTATCTACATATTGCGTGTTTGTCTTTGTATTTCTGTCTGTATGTGCACGATTGAAAATTGAAAAGCTCCATACCTGGCCTTTGAATACAAAAAATTAATTAAATTAGTACCTTTCATGAAGATCTTTTTACACTTTGAGTTAGAAACAAATTCACTTGGACACTTTCACAGAATGTAGTTGACCTAACTTGAAAATATTGCATTATAGCATTTCATCTTGTTACCAACTACTGTGTTTATTATTTTAGAATTATAATTTTTTTTTTGCCCTTTAGAAATCACACATAATACTCTTTTTGAACTGTGCTGACACACTTTTGTACTGTAATGCACTCAGCTACTGATCTCTATAGAATTTCACTTTATTTCCACATCCAGCCATCAGAACAATTATTGTGTATCATGACTGTTGAAAGCCAGGTGTGTGTAATATTCACTTTCCTGTGAAGTAGAAGGAATGTGTTTCTTTCATTTTGCTCAACACATTGTTTGAATGGGAAGGACAAACGATGACCTTCCCATTTGATGAACTCCAAGCCCCCCACCCCCTATATTTCTTTCTTTCTTTTGAGAGATTTTCAAGATACACACAAGTATTTTGATTTTCAGTGTAGTTTTTTCAATGTACACTGCCATATAAATACCTCTTTACTGCAGTTGTCTGAGCTAAAAGTAATTCGGTCTAATATAATTTGTAAGCATTTTTTTTTTTAAATAGAGCTGTATTTGTATTTATACTCTCCCTGTGTTCATAGTTTGACCTTTTAACATTAAATGTGCTGAATGTAACTTATGTAACTAAATGTAACTATGTCCTAAAGTATAAAAATGTTTGCAGAGATTAAGCTGCTAAATTCACATACTTGTTTCACTGAAAAACAATGATACAGCCAGTTATTTTACTTTAAAACAGGGCTATTCAATTAGCTTCATTCGAGGGCCGCATTATTAAATCGAAAAGTTGAGCTAGGCCGGTGGGTTTAGCTTATTTATTGACACATAACAGTATCAATAAGTAAGCTAAAGTAAACAAACAAACAAACAAACAAAAAAGGTTTTGCATTTACTAGGAAATGTGGTACCCATGCAGACAATAATAAATGACTTTTTTTTTACAGCTATATACAAATATATTGAATTATACAATATCATAGCTATTGGTAAGAATTATTTTATTAACAATTATTATAGGATAAATTAAAATATCCTGACAGTGAGACTTGTGGCTCACTACCACTGTATAAAAAATGCCTAAACAAGTAAACAATTATACACACAATGAATTATATATTCCTCTACCCCCCTAATAAATCTAATGCAAAATAAATTACTATAACATAGTATTCAATATAAATATTCCACATTTCTGCCCAAACCATGGTAAATTATTACATTCATGGTACATGTTTGTAAGGGTGATGATTATGGCATTTATAGTCTTCTAACTTTGTTCATGTTTCTGCTATTTACCTCATCAGTAGTGTTGGGAATGTTAAGGCTGTTTCATCCGATTTAAAACTAGTTAAAATCATTGAGTGATTTGTGGTTTGTAACTGAGAGGAGTGTCCGATTGAAACGCTTCTCAATGGATGTCACAACGCTGTTTAATAGTGTCCGGGACCGGGAATAAACACAACTCCTTTAAGTTTGCGTTCCGTTATCCACTGGCCCATGCTGCCTAGTTCAAAGTAAACTAGTGAAACAACTGAAACCAGCGCTATTTGTTCTTATTGACCGAGAAACCGCTTCAGATGATTCAGTGACAGAACGGTCCGAACAAATCCGAATCGTTTCCGACTGTTATGCACGCGCATTTGGCCAATTCATGAAAAGGAAATAGGAATCGAACCAACAAATGATTAATATCACTTCAGAAATACGGGACACAATAACTGCTGAAATATTCGGACTGAAAACGTTTCTCTCAGGTCAGTCGGAGCGCTCAAGATACACACAGTGCGTATAGTCATCCAGCTGCATGCGCCACTGCGGCCACGCGCATATCAAACCAAATTTAACCGCACCACCATAAAATAGGAGGGGGAGGTTGGAGTGCTCTCGGGCCGCATGGAGATGATTGGCGGGCCGCATTTGGCCCGCGGGCCGCCAATTGAATAGCCCTGCTTTAAAATATGTGTTCCGTGTTGGAATATTATTATTTTTTTTTTCCACTGCCATTTTCCCCAATGGTAATTCGACACTCTGGGTTGCCATTTGGTGCAAAACACAGCATATTGCAGCCATGGAAGCCAGCAAACAAACTAGGTCAGAGATCGCAGATTCTACCCAACCTAAAATTCCGTGCCATAAAAAACAATGCCCACTCATCAACTTACAAGTGTGATCTCCTCGCCTTCCATTGTCAATTGCGTTCACTTCTGTTGCTTGGCCTCAATCTGGAAACCTGCGTGAGCATCGAGTCTGAGGAAGAGGGGCAAGGGAAACAACCCTCTCCAATATTTTGAATTTGAACTGCAGTACCCATTTCAAACCACTAGCTGTTAATCTTACATACTGCACCTTTAAATCTATTGTGCTATAAGCATAGAATACAGCCTGAAAGTTAAATGGTTTTGCTTTCCTCGTTTGTATGCATTGAGATTAATTCTGAGATGTCGCCTGTGTTTCAGAATCCTCCTGCATGGAGAAACTTCTTTCTAAAGACTGGAAAGAAAAGATGGAGCGACTCAACACAGGCGAGCTGTTAGGAGAAATTAAAGGTAATGCTTACAATTGTGTTTGCATCAAATTAAGTTAGAATGGTGTGCTAGAATATGCCATAAAAATATCAGAAAGCAACCTTTTCTGGTCAGTCTTGATTTTAACCTCTTCCTCTTCTGCATGACTGTTATATGATGTGCATTATGGCGGCTACATTTTGTTATTTCTTATCTCCTGGAATGGAAATTAGACAGAATTCTGTGTATTCTGGTGAAATACATTTCTATAATGTTTGAACACACATGGGCTTGATATAAACAGAGAAAAGAGGAGATGATTGCATGGGTGTGTTTGTATTGGAAGATAGTGCGGCCCATACACAGATTTTACCCACTGAAGGTGTTCATGGGCTTTTTTTAAAATTTTATTCCATGAGCAGGTCTTAGCACTGGCTGTTACAGAGACGTGTTTATGTAGCAGGAGACGGCACTGCACCGGTTCTCTGATAACACACTAGTTCTGCCCGGCTCCAGCCACACACTCCTCCCTCACTATCTCTAACTCTCTTTCTCTTCCCTTTTTTTCTGCCACACTTGGTTTTGCCGTTCATTCTTGCCAACACCATTCTACCCCATATCCTCAGACCTTTACATTGACTCTCGATTTACAGTAACGTGTTTCAATAACAGCCTTTTTTTGTTGGGTGAGGTACAGGTGTCATAACGGTTAGAATATCCTCTATGTCATAGCATCAGTGTTTCAGGACGCTTTTAATGGAGAAGACGTTTAGGAGGCAGTTAATAGCTGGATTTAGATTGCAAGGGTAATAATAACATTGGAGAGAAGTGTTATTGTTTTTTGTTCCCTCGCTTAATGGTTCTCGTTTCCATCCCTGCACTGTGTAGAATTATGAAAAACGTTTGTCCTTGGTTTTAATTATTGGATTAGACCTACTCTCTGTGGTGTGTGGATGGAGGAGGGGTGGAGATGGTGGGGGAAGAGGGGAAAAAGAAACAGTCGCACATTCTAATAAGTGCATTCATCGGCAATAACCTTAATGAACCCCCAAATGTAAATCACATCTCAGTAAACCAGATTCATTGTACCTGTCCCTGTTATGTGGCACCGTAGATCAAAGTGCAGCAAAGAAAATGGTGAGGAAAGATTTAGCCTTTTGAAAGGAGATCTTTTTAAATTACAGGGTATTTTTCTGTTGGATAAATGGCATTGGGTGAGGTCATGTTTGAAAGTTATAAACAGGTAGAAGGCGTTGATAATACCCCACCAGGCAGTGGCCTCCATCGTGATTTCCAGCGAGGCTGTGGGCGACTGTAGAGAAACAGACAGAATTACTTTTCATATCATACCGGCAGCCTAAGGTTTCTAATTAGCCTGCCATTTCATATGACTGTAGACATTTCAAAGGCCTCCTTTGTGCTCCCCCTTACAAAATGTCTCTCTCTGCGTTTGAAGTCGGCCTGATGTAAATACGGGCAATTAAAAAGGAAGCTCAGGGTTGGAGACACACAAGGTCTGCTTAATTAATACACAAACAAAGGCACCAAGCTGGAAAAGAGAAAACACATACAACTTATGATTAAGATCTAAAGTGTTATGATAAATCAGAGAGCGCATTAATAGTCGGGTTAAAAAATCAATACAAAGGCCACACGTTCCTCCGGCTCGAAATTAATGGAGGAGAGTGCTGGATAAAAGATGACACGAGGATGAAAAGGAGGCTGTTGCCTGTTTGGCCTTGCTGTTTTTGCTCTCATATGTGAACCGATGGCATTGTGCAATCTACCCACAGTTCTTTGTGCCATTGTCATCGCACTACAAAAAAAAAAAAAAACGCCTTTGATTTTTGTTCGATAAATAAATCGGCTGGGAATCACTCTCCCCGCCAAACTATATTGGTTCAAAATAAAGTTTCTCACAGCTTTTGAAATCTCTGCAGCTGTTCTTTAAAACCAATACATATTTTCACCTTGTGAACCTGTCGAGACACTGTGCTGTGGTAAGAAAGAGTTTAGGAGGTGCAAAAAGTAACTGATTGCCTTAGGGCATGAAGAACAATGGCGGAGAGAGAGTGGAAAAAAAGCTGAAACTCTGAGAACACTTAGAGTGTTTTCTTAAACACACTGACACGTCTGGACCTGCCCGACTCTGTTGCACAAAACAAGTAAACAAAGTCAAAAAGTACATCCAGTTTGGATGTTTGTTATATTTTAAGTAGTTTTTAAGCTCTGTTTATTTAAAGAAAATAAATTATATACGGGTATTTGATGCATGAGTTTGAGAGGCAGGATAGAATTGTTTTCGAGGGCTCTTAATTGTTGCCGAATCCTATGTTTTCTTTAAGCCCCGTGTTTAAATCGGCACAGGGTTGAGGGGTAGCGGGTAGAGGGCGTAAAAGGGAGTCGGCTACAGATCGCTTTTCACCCGCCGCCGCTGGAGCGCTGTGTTTGTTTTCATACCTGAGCTCAGCTGTCAATCAAGAGGAACGGTGAAGAGAGAGATGAGATCTGCAAAACAAAACCACAAAGCAGGAGAAGCAGGATGTCTGGAGGACATCCAAACCACAGCATTGCCTGTTTGATTGTTAGAGAGAGGGAGAGGGAGATACAGATATATGAACAAATACAGAGTAACACATCATATATATGCCAAAGAGTTTTAATGACCAAATTGAATTCCAAAATGTCCTGCTGGTGCAATTAATACATTGTATTGGAAGCTTTGATTCACTTCAGCTACATTTCATTTGTCATACAATTAAAGACATTGGCACCCCATGCACCCCAGGTTCATTATTTGATGTGTTCCAGGAAATGTTCTAGTGGAATTTTAATTTGGCTTTGTCTTTTAAATGGATTTCATTAGTTAACCAGAGCTCCGCACTTCTGCCGATGAGCCGTTTTTGTTTCTTTCGCCTTGAACATTCAGATGTCCCTGACTGTTTAAAAAATGCGACGAAACGACTGGAAGTCAAAATGTACTCGGAAGATTAGAGTATCCAAATGGAAATAAAAAAAAAGGACAGAAAATCAGAAATCTCAGCATTGTGTGACCGCGTGAAAGTGGTGACTATAGCTGCTATGTGAAAAAAGGGGTCCCTCGCTCTTTACCTAATCAATTTCTGAGTGTCGTCTACATGGTTGTGAAGAGAAAGTCCTGCGGTTGGTAGATAAGTAGAAGCTTTTTAAGAGAGCGGCAGGGCTGCGTGTGATTTCGATGTGACTCTTACCTGGCTTAGGCGCTCTTGGACAGAGAGCGGACTGTGAGGGTACAGAGCGCCGATTGTTCGAGCAGCTGGATTTACTTTTAAAACATGATTATTCAATTTAATGTCAGCTTTATTCTTAATGGCTCCAATAAAGGCAAAGAATCCATGCTAGTGTAGATACAGTATGTGATGTGACACTCAGGGATAAGCATGAATATTTTTATCATTGTGATGCACTTTTTAATGCTTTGCTATTCCATTTAAAAAAATTGTATAAAACACAAAATAAATTCTACATTAGATAGTAAGGAAAAATAATAATCGTTATTTTATGGTTTCGTTCATTTTATTGTTGCATTCAGTTTTGTGGGATAAAAAACATCCTGTATTAATTATTTTATATGAATTGTTTGTATTGTATAAATGGATATTACTAATATGTTTTATATATTTCTTATAATAATATGAATTCTAAATATTAATATTCATTACCATTTTATGTAATTTAATTATTGTAGATTTATGTTGAGTGTGGTATATTTTATTGCACTTTAAAAAAATAATTTGAAAATAAAATTATGACTGAATTTACTTAAGTTTCTGCGATTTGAAACAAGATACAGTAGTGAATATAGTGGGGGGAGAATAGGACAGAGAGTTGTGTTAAATATTGAGTGAACTTTTAAAAAGGAGAGTGGTTAAAAATACAAAACTATAATATAAGATTGATTGTAATAAAATAGTTTAATCAGTGCACATTCTTAGTTCAAGTCTTAATCGAGCATCTTTGGAATTGAGGAAAACAAAGCAAATTTCTATCTGCTTACTGACAATTGATCCGTACCAGATTTGAAACCGTTTTAGGTATTGTTTCTGACCGAGAGAGAGGAAACCTTCTTCCCCCATCACAGCGTCTGAAATATTCCTTCATCTCCCCCATCCTCTAGTGGCACACTCTGCATTTTTCTCTCCCTAACGCCTCAATAGTCAAACTGTTTGCCCTTATGTACCCAAGTGAAATATGAGCCACTGTAAATTATTCTTTGGGCCACATTTGCAAGATGAATGCGCGGAGAGCTGTGCTCCGTTTCTCTCCTAATGAATTGAGGAATTTAGCTTGTGGTGTTTGGCTGTAGAAAGGCACACCTTGTTTGCTGCCTCTCCTCGCATGGTGTTATTGAAAGTGCTTGTGAACAGGAGCGCGTTGAGGGGAAGACAGCCATCGAAGAAGCCCGACACACACACACACACATACACACACATGGTTCAGACCTGAGGAAAATCACTTCTCTGAACACTAAACCACAGGGCATGCATTAAAGCTCTCCTGCTAGGCAAATATTTTCATTTATTAGGAACATTCACAATGTCCTACACTGTTACAAGCTCTAGCTAAAGTTCCTCAGAGGTGGTGAAACCCAATAATGCAATTATTCACAAATTAGAAACATCTTTGCGTGACGTGTGCCACTAGCAAACACAGGTTTAATTCTGTGTACTGCAGTGTTGGGAGAGCTAATGTTTATCGGAGGACGGGTCGCAGAGCTAATGTTCTGCTCACGGCCGTGTAATGCTGTTTAAGAGCTGGCAGGGCCATGCCCGGGTCGCTTTAGCGCATGTCACGCTGGATTTCCGACTACAGTAGAGTCTCCGGACTCTGTCTCCACTCCTCCCCAAGCCCCGGGTCCTAAGGGGATGTACATTGCTACTACTACTAATGAAATCTTTACGCACAGGCACACAAGCACAGAGAACAAGCCAGGCCTTGAATGGTTGTTAGGTCTAATCAAGGTTTTTTATTCTCTCTAATGATAATAATAATAAAACAGGAAG